TGAATGGGGCCTGCTTAAGACATCCTCCCTATTTTTGTCCTACAAATTTCTCTCTCTCTCTCTCTCTCTCTCCCCCCCCCCCCCCCCCCCCCTCCCTCTCTGTGTGTGTGTGTGTGTGCAAAGTATGGCACTTACTGGAGCTAGACCAACTTTTTAGCACAAAGCAATTATTTTGTGATTATTTTCTGGAACTTGGAAACTCTCAGTAAAACATGGAAACTCTCGGTGAAACATTGGTCTCAGAGTTTAAATAATCCAAGTGATGCCTGTTACAGAATTTGTAGTAAGCATAGCCAGCAATTGGGAAGAATGGTCTAGATTTTGCTCAAACCCTTTTAGTTTCATTCAATATTTTATTGAAAGCTGATGAACCATGCAATCCATACACGAGGAGAGAAATGTCAAAAGGTGAAAACTATTCAGGTAACATTGCTAAAATAATTGGAAAATGTAACTTGTTGCTGATTTCCCCCCCAAAAGAGAATAAATTCTTTTTCAATAGTGGCGAATATCTGTAGCTCTGGTGTTGGATGAGGGTAGTCATTCTCCGAGCTTTTCGAATGTTTCATTACCAGACTAGATAACATCTTCAACGGAGCTTAGGGGATGTCAGAGTCAGTGTTCTTCTGTTTATAAGGGCTTCAGGTGTGGGTGTGACGAGTAAGGGTCTTGTGATGGGTAGGTTACATCAGGTCAGACTCATTGGGAGATGAACTGGTGGGGATGGCTTGCATGGGTTGGTTGAAGGTCAGTGCTGTCTCTAGTTGGCTGTGTGGTTGATCTGGATTTGGAGGGGTTTTTACGCTGGTTGTAGGTCAATTTGTTGATGGAATTGCTTGTAAATTCTGAATAAATTCTTTCTAGGAATTATGTTCAGATCTTTTTGGCATTTCACAAGACAATTTATACCGAATGAAATCTATATCCTTCCATAAAAATGACAACCAACCTTAGAAATGAAAAACTGCCATATATGAAAAAAAAATCCTGTTCGTAAGAGCAGTTTGTTCTTATAGACCTGCCCCTGCCATTGCAGACAGCCTAATACTCTGGTGCTAGGGAATCCTAAGGAAGATAGTATCTTTCTTCCCACACATCTCTCCCTTGGGAAAAAGAGCACCTGCTTACGTATGTTTCTAATCCCTTCCATTGTGATTGGAAAGGTTGTCTCGCACAATGTCATTGCCTCCCAGTCAGCAACTTGCTAATTGTGGCGGTGGGTGTGATGCAGCAGATCATTGGACTGCATTTCTTTTCTCTTGAGGACAATTTGCTATGTGGTAAGGCTCATGGATAGTTTGGCTGGGAAACAATAAACCAGTTTCTCTACACTACTTAAACAACTATGAGATATAAGATCAGTCTCCCATAACAAGTTTAGATTGTAAATTAATAGCCCACCTTGCTCTATAAATTGCCTTTTTACATATATCAATGTTTGATATCTTTGAGAAAGTATTTTGTGGGTTTCTTGGGGTTCTCTGAGCTTGGAAACAACAAGTTCAGAGACCATTAAGGGCACCACAGTTCAGCCCTTAGCTACAACTATTCTCTTTTATTGGTAAAAAGGTCTTTCTTAGATCTTAGGATTGGTTGGTAATCAAAACTGGTGTCCTTGTGGCTTCAGAAAAACAGCTCATCTTTTAGTTAAAATGTTTAAAAATAGAAATGATTTCCTTCCATATCCTTTATGAGTCAATTGCTCTATTTTGCATCCACTGCATATAAGAGCAACATGTACCACATTCTGCCCCTCTTCAGAAAATTTAATATCTTTCTGGAAACCTGGATAAAATCACAGAGGCTTGAGAGAGTTTCCCAGTAGAAAAGATAATTCTATAATAATGTGATTTCTTCCATAATACATTGATAATTATACTGCTTGATATAGATTTTTGCTTAGGGTACATTTGGGGGGAGCAGATGAAACTAACATGTTCTCAGCCTCAGTGGCTTTAAGACAGATGGACTTCAACTCCCAGAATTCTCAAGCAAGGCCAAATGTTGGCTGATGAATTTTGGAAGGGAACCCAAGAAAATTTGCTCAGCTTGGCTGTCCCAAGATTTTGAACCTTCTGCATTGTCTTGCCAACTGGGAAGCTCTGCTGGGCTGGGTATCCTGGTTTGCCAATCATAGGATGCCAATTGTCACCCACCCAAAGCTTCACTGAGTTCCCCAAGGATCTGTTTGCCCACCGGCATGATTTTGATTTCACTAATATTCTTTTAATTAGCCAACATCTTTTATGAAAATCTTAATTTCTTTCTCCTGTCTGTCTGTTCATTATTCTGTCTTCTCATGCCCCTCTGGTCACTTTTAAGCCCTTGTTTTATCTCCCTCCTGTCCTTTTAATTTATTAAATCATTTTGCATGGCGCCTCTCAAAAGTTGCCCCTCTTCCTGTGCACCCACTCCCCCATTCATTTATTTCAGCTTTTTCCAATCCCATCTTGCATGTGAACTCTTGCCTTAGGCAGAGGGTTGGACTAGAAAACCTCCAAGGTCCCTTTCAGCCCTAGGATTCTATGATCCATCCCAAATCTGTAATACGAGCCTGAATACCCAATAACTAGATTTTGTTCATTTATAGGGAAGAAAAGTCATTTTTGAATTGTTATTTTTAGTCAATACAGAATCATTAGGAATACTAATAATAAAGGTGTGGAGATCAGAAATTCTGAATATAAATTTAGCTTGTATGCATATGATTTACCTGACTCAAGTTTGTCAATGAATTCCCGAGAGACTGGATTATATTAAGGTAATTTCACCTCCTTTTTGGTTCTCTATCTGTCAGCAAAATGCTTAATATGTGATGTAGTTAGCATGAACATGAAGGACCTGGGTTATTTCTTGTAGATTATACCACACAAGTATTGAACACAGATATGAAAACTTGAATTAGACATGTGCAATCAGAAAATTGAATGAGCCACATAATTGGAGATGTAATTGTCAGATTGTAATTGTTTACTTTTTTATATTGAATGCAGTGATAGAATCTTATTAGGCTTTCTTTGTTATGCATTCACCTGAATTGGAGAGGGGGAGTTTATTTTTTTGTTTTTACAAAATCAACATTCATATGTTCTGTTGAATAATTAAAATCTGAGTTTCCCACAGCTATTTTTAATAGCCATTGCTACTATTCTTTAGCCCAGGTTTTATAAGTTTTTAAAAGATTCAATAAAACTTTTTAAAATAGGTCAGTGATGTCGAACCTTTCAGAGACCAAGTGTCCAAAAACTGTCCCACCCCTGCTACACCCCTGGCCCACCCCCACCCACAGGGCCACCCACCACCTCCATGGCCCACCGCAGATCACCCAGGCAGTCCAGTAGCGCCATGGCGGCCACAGCCTCCATCCGTGCCCCGTAGCATCAACTTTTTGCGACGGGGCGCAAGGGCAGAGTCTTGTCCCCACTGCCTGGCTGCTATGTCTTGATTGCGCTATTCCAGGCGGGCCGTGCCTTGGGGTGACTCTTCGGGGGGGGCTGCTGGTGTGAAGGGGGCCACGGGGAGGCGGGACTGGAGCGACGGCACGTGTGCCCACAGAGAGGGCTCCAAGTGCCGCCTTTGGCACTCGTGCCATAGGTTCGCCACCACTGAAATAGGTTGTCAAAATTCCATAGCTAATGCTCTTGATGAAAAGGGAGAATGAAAAATCTCTGCCTATATATTGGCCAATTTTCAGACCAGATTGTTTCCTTACTCTTGAACAATTTGGGTAAAACCTGGGGAGTTGAAACTTGCAAAGAATTGCAATTCTTTTTTAGCTTCTTCTATTTGGAAAAATGGCACTGCCAATCATGGTGTGCCTAACTATGATAAATGTGATTTTTAAGAAAGGAAGTGAGGAGTGAGGAGGTATGGTCCACTGCACTTGTTTATTGCATCCCACCTGCTTTTTGTACCTACTCTTCCTTCTAGCACTGAAGATATTACCTAGTTGTCTGCAAGAAAACAACAAAGCTCAGAGAACACCAGGACTCCACACTCTGATATCTGCTAGGACTCCCATTTCATTTTACCCAATGAATTTAATTTGACCCTTAAGAACTGTGTTTACCACCTGTAGGAGATGACCAGGCTGAGCCCAATGGAGAGGTCAAACGTGTCATAAGACATGAGACTCTACATGCCTGCAAGAGATCTAAATCCAACCCACCTTGAATTCATTTCTTAACTCCCATGCATTCCCCTTAATGGTCACTTGGCCAGATTCTTGTACAGAGCTAAGCTTGCAATAAATCTTTACAGTATACTCATTGGAACTGCGTAAATATTCTCATTTCCTAGGCACTTGACACCATCTTGTTTATTAGATTTATATTTAATTTATTTCTTTTGTATAGAAGTTTAAGGCAACATAAATAACATTCTCTCCTGTTTTTCTCCAAGGCAACCATAATGTAAAGCAGGTTGGGCTGAAAAGGAATGACTAGACCAAGGTCATTTAGAGGATTTCTGTGACTGAGGGTAGACCAGTACCTGGTTCCCAGTGCCGGCCCACCTGGCTGAATGGACTTGGGAGGAACTGTAGTATCTGTCCTTCTGAGCTGGAAAATGATATCATTTAATACTTTAGTACCTTAATTGTTTTCCTAGTTTAGATGAAAGATTTGTCTGGAAGTACATTTTGTCATGTTGGTGTTTAATATCCATCTCACCATTTAAACTTCATGACCTTCCAGTTGGCAATGTAAAATTATTTCCTGGGTGGGCTCCATCTTTCATCATAATAATTGCTTTATAGCTTTAAAAGCATAGCTTTCTCTACTTCCAGCAGCTGACAAAACTGTTCTCCTTCACATATTTCACCACTTTTTTGTGCTTAATCAGATTGATTTTGCCAGAGGTTAGATCAAGCACTGGAGTGACTCATGAGAATCAGAAGGATAGAAATAAATTTATGGGGAAAATGAACTGCTCTATTAACTTTAAAACAGTGGAAATAATTATGGTGTACAGTATCTATTATAAAATCATTTATTTTGGGAATTTCCCAGAGTGTTTTAGATGTTGAGTGCTACAGAAATGTAATTAAATGAATACATTTTTTAAAATTACTTATTTTAATAGTTCCAACTGAAGTATTAATTTTGGTTTAATGGCTTGTTAGTGCCTTTTCAAGCAGTACCTAAGTACTGTTGCATTTTGTGGTATCTCTTCCAGTCTCCTGTTTTAGTGAGCAACTCACCAAGGAGAGGTAGAGGTATTTGGAAATTCAGGCAAGATTAGTGATGAATCTGGCAGTTTGATATTTTACTTGATGGGAACCTTTCCTTTTCTATACTATGCAATTACCCTAATCCAAGCTATGCAACAAATTTATAACAGTTTAACTGTACTGGTTTATCTCAGAAGAAATCTAAAAAATATAATTTAACAAGAGTGTAGCCATTTCCTTAGTATTGTGTTCCATACATCGCAGTAGTTTTCAGATTTCTTGAAAAGAACATTTAATTTTTTTTAAAGAGTAAAATGCATAGAGTGTAAGGCTATCAAAAGCTACTATCATTTGTAGCGAAATGGTATTTCCCTGTTTACCTATTTTAAAAAATTGAGAAATCGTTGCTTTCAAGCCCTCTTTTGGCTTTCCCAGCTTCATGTAACTTGCCTCACTGTGAAAAAGTGGTTTGGAGTACTGAACTGGTCCAGTAGGGTGAGCTAACCAAGCTGCCAACTATTGAAATGGAATGATGAAAGCCAAAAGGGTAAAACTATTTGAGTTATTTTCGAAAAGGTTCGTTTTCATTTACCTTTACCTTCCCATTTTTATTACCATTTAGAGCCGCAAACTCTTGATCGTTGGGACTACTAGTCGCAAAGATGTCCTCCAGGAGATGGAGATGCTTGATGCGTTTAGCACTACTATCCATATTCCCAACATTGCTACTGGCGATCATCTCATGGAGGCCCTGGAGGTGAGATCACTAGTGTGCCCTGAAGGAAGGAATCTGAAAAAAGAACCCAATTTCTTCCGAGTTCTAAAACAAATCAAGTCTGTGGATCTTTTGAAATCCTGTTGTCAGCCGACTAGATAGCCCATACCAGGAAATTTCCTTTAAAAGAAGGCTGAAGCTACTTTTATTCACATTGGCTATATAATAGAATCTTGCAAATCTGATTGTTCTGTATCACCCACTACTTTGTGAATTAGGGAGTTGTCTGTCTGATCCACTTCTGAATATTATCTAGCAGTTTTAGATTTCCTCCCCTTTGTCTAGGCAACAGATCTTGCATATCTCTGTCAAGGTCAACTTTCTACAACAATATTTAGGAGTGAAAATATAACTTTATCTTGGAAAAACAGAGCTTTATCTCAGAATGAAGAGTAGAAGTAGCAAGAAATATTTCTTCTGTCTATGATTATTGAGAAATAACTGCCATCTAAAATATATGAACAGTTACAACTTCAAATGAAAGTATTTCAGTAGGAAAGATTTACCAGTAATTGAGTTCCTTTCTCCAAAAATGATACTTAAGTCTGCAGATCATTATTTTAAAAGGTCCTTTAACATCCAAATTTATTTGGTTAAACAGTGAAGGCTGCTTCTATGCAATTTTATATAGCTATTCCTTTAGAGGCAAGATTCTTGATTCTGAAGATTCTAGAATTAATCAAATTGTATTGTATATGTATTTAAGTTACAGCTGCTGTTTTGTAATTAACATCTTTTGAGTTGTGTAATTTACAGTAGAGGTAACCCTAACCATCATTATCCCGGGTGTATTGATGGTTTTATATAAACTGAAATTATTGAAAGCAAAATAATTAATGCTAGGGCTATGTCACTGAACTAATGGATTAGTTAGATCAATTTATTGCAACATTTACAATTAACGTTAAGTTGTATTTCCATCTAAATTATTATTTCTGTCTGTAATGTCAATATTGTATAGTTCTTAGAAGTTGGATTTACTAATTGCAATGAAGTGACAGAGTGAAATTTGTTATTAATTTAATCCCCATTGATTTCAGAAGTTACTGACTGTGACAGTCTAAGTTGTACACAATCTATTAGTTAAAATTAACAACATTTCAAAAGAAACATTGCTTCCCTTTATAGTATGTAGGAAGGAATCTCTTCTAAATATTATGATACCTCTGTTTGTATTGGTTATGTTTATGCAAATTCCTGAAATGGTAGAATAAAGTGAAATAAGGTGCCCACTTCCACACTTGCCTTTTGATTTCACAGTTTGATCTGCTTCTATCTGGAGCAGAAGATTTGAACATCAACTGAAATGATGATTTCTAGCTGGCTTATCTTTCGAGTAGTTAATATAAAAATCTTGCTGTATAAGAAGAAAGTGGAGTCCAGAGTTATCCAGATCCCATCCATTCCCCTGACTGGGTTTTCCTTATAACTTACGTAACTTTCTTTTTCCAACTTTTAGCTCCTGAGTGTCTTCAAAGATAAGGAACGCAGCACTATTGCTCAGAATGTCAAAGGGCAGAAGGTCTGGATTGGCATCAAGAAGCTGCTGATGTTAATTGAGATGTCACTGCAGGTAAAATGCTTGCCCTTAGATCAACTCAAGAAATAAAATTTAAAAAAGAACTCCATAAGTTCATTGGTTTGCAGTTAAGTGCTCCTTATCATTTTTTATGTTGCCTACAATTGGCAAGAGCTGAAAGACATGTTTGGAGGGTCAAATCTGGCCCATCTCTGAGCTAGACATATGGGTTGCTTGGCCCTTGGTCAAGCCACGATATTAAAAAAAAGGCACTGGGCACTGGAAAAAAAGAGCCTTATGTTTTTATTTCTGCTTAGGAATTAATTATGAAATACAATCTCTTATTTTTAAAGGTTCAGAGCAGTTGATGTTCCAAACACCTGCTTAATGAAAGTTCAATAATAATGAAACCAAATAAAATATGGACCTGGAGTACCACTTATAATTATATTTTAACAAGGATTAACACTGTATTGAAATGTCTCAATTTTATTCGCAAAGTAGATAGTAACTTGATTATAGTGGGACACAAGATGGCAATTTCCACTTAGCAGAGAGGGAACCTCTTTGCATATTACAATAGATTAGAGAAAAAGGCTCCCTTGTAAACATTTTACAACTATTCATACTCCAACCAAGTGCCCTCCAAATTTATTGGGACTAACTTCCAGGTGGCAGGAAACTTCAGTAGATTGTTCATCTGTCATGCAAAAGGGGAAAATGCGTTTAAATCATTTTTCCTCTCATATATTAGGAGGCAAAACTTTAGGGATCTAGTTTCTACTAGAGTTGGACAAAGTGGTTTTATCATTCACATTTGCTATATAAGACTACAGGTGATTAGAATTTATATATCTGAATCAACATAGTTTTTTAAATTAGTTTCATGCCATCTAAATTATTAGTGGCCACCTAAAACAATTTTCCACAGACAGCTAGTGAATTAGTTTGTAAAATGACTGCTTACAATTTATGCAAAAGAAGCTAGTGAAATCCTATCCTATCACCTCCCAAGGAACATAGTTCATGAACCATTCAAAGTTTACACCTCTTAGCTTGGATGTAAATGTGCCAGACAAATGAAAATGGAGTCAGGTGTGCATAACAGCAGGGATGCATATGGGAAATTCTATACCTCTCCAGGACTGATGCCTGCTAAATCAGCTGGTGTAACTATAAATGAAGACTTTTTGCCTCTTTTTCGGACAGCTTTTAAGTATAAGCCAAGAAGTATGCAATTCGTCACTGTGTTATAAACGCTTCCCCACTCCCTTCTGAGTGACTTGTTCTTTGCAATTCTGTTGAAACTTGTATAAAGCTTGGGATCTGCTTTGACTGGATGTCACCTGAGGGTACAAAGTCATTTATCTAGATTACTTTTTCCTTTCTTTCCCTTGTCTCTATTTTCATAGCTATGGGCAAAAGTCAGTAACTTATTGCTCACACCTATTAAAGGGTAATAGGCAGAGACCTGTACCATTTGACTCTGGCCTGGTGATGTCCAATTTCACTCTTTTTATTACGTTAAGAAGATCCCTCTTGGTTGGCTACTGGTCCTACATCTTAGTACCTTGAATTCATGTGATTCAGAAGTGAAAAAAGAGCTACAGGAGAGAATGAGAGATATGATGAAGAAAAGATTGTGTTGTGTTCCCTCCTTGCTTTCTAGCTAACAAGGGAAAGGGGGCTGATTCATGGAAGACAATTTTATTTGATTTTTTTTGTTGTCATATCATTCTTATCCTTTTATTAGACATACTCCTTAGTATTTGAAATTGGATTTGAAATGAGGCAAAAATTAAATAGTAGATCTGCAGTCATGAGTATAACATGTTTTTCAGCAGACTCTTTTGTTTAAGATCACTGTTAATTTTATTTTTGCCAATGGCCAAAAAAAGAAGGAGAGCAAATAGAAGCTGTAGAATTAACACAGCTTCCCAATCCATGGGAGGACCCATTAGGCATAAACAGGAAGAACTAGTCTGGTGTGTTTGCCCTTGATTCTTATTATGGCTTAGCATGTTTTATGAACTTGTTCATTGCCTGCTTAAATCTATTTTAGTAACTGCAAAGATCTGCATGGTTGAATATTTCAGCATGCAGTTCTTTTTTGTAAATTTTTGGGCTGAGTGCAGAAATTACAGAATGGTTACCGTATATATCTACTTAGTGCTCTTTTTCTGAGAATATTGAATTAGTACTTGATTGTTGGCTGCTTTTGAAGCCAAGCATTGTTTCCCAACATAAAGTTGGGGGTGAACTGAATAGAAGCAGAAAGGCAACATGCACTTTGGTTCTTTAGTTAAAAAAAATAATATAACTGTGACAAAACTCTCTTACCTTTCCTTTTGTTCATTAAATTTATTGTGATTAATTGGAGAGTGTTTGTGTATTAACTACGTGTGTTTTTAATACATGTAATTTATGAAGATGGATCCTGAGTACCGGGTGAGAAAATTCCTGGCACTTCTACGAGAAGAAGGAGCGTAAGTAATAAAATAATTATTAGGAATGTGCTTACCTAATTTGCATGCATGCTTAAGAACTATTTATTGCTGGCCAAATAGGGATTTTGTGGGAGCGTGCTTTGTAAATTTTGTTTTATAAAAACATTTGTTGTAATTCATGACAGCTGTTGAACTATTCCATCACTAAATCAGCCTGTTCCATTGGTTAGGACTTGTCACACTGTTGTGTTGACAGCTACTATTTCTATATAATGCATATATGTATATGTATAAATCTATATATATTAAGGGGATGGAGTTTTTATGGCTCAAACATGCATATAAGCCATGCTTTGTGTTTCTCAATATCTTATGCATAGGTATTTCAGGATTGACTTTGATAACTCAGTTATGTAAGAGAAATACATTTTTACCTGTTTTACAACCCTAACTCACACATTGGTTTATATTCTAATTCCAGGGCACTTTCATGCTCAAAAGTGTTTCTACGCTAAATTTTCTTCTGGCTTTTACCTTTTCAGATTCTCTGAATATATAAAACTAGCACATCAAGGAGCAAGCAAAGCTAACACTTTGATTCCATGACATGCTGGCTTCCAGTAGAGGGAGTTTTTGGTGAATGGAAAGTTACAGTAATGTGTGTTCTCCTTACATGTGTATCTATTTGCCCACATGAAACCATAATCCCTCAAGGGATAGTATTTGAGATATTTTTAAATGCTGATACTATTTTTCTTCTAGTTAGATCTATTCAGGTCTAATAAGAGGGATAGTGCATCATTTGAGTTGATGAATCTATTATTTAATCCTTTCATAACTTCTAGACAGGGACTGTGCCAGTACATTAAAATGCTACTTTATTTATATAGTTCAGGTAACCACCTAATGTTGGGATGAAATAGAATTCACTTCTTTAACCAGTATGTTTGGGAAACAGTTTTTAGCTTTGTCATTTTCCCATAGCCTGTTTTAATGCAGAGTCAGAGTACAACCCTCTTTTTTTTGCAGCTATTGAGAATAATGTCTGAGGCACAACTGGCCTGCGAATTTGCATGCAGTTCCCCTCTTTGGATGACCATCTCTGTGTGCCACCACCCATTCCCCAAGACCTGCCTATCCTTGTGGCTGTTGCACTCTCTCTCTTTGCAGTAGTCCACTGGATTTAGAATGAAGCTTGAACCTTGTTAAAGGCTGGTGACCTGGAAAATAGCCAAGCAGAAGACTGCTTCTCTGGGACCTTCCTCCATGTGGCACGTTTGGACAACTGCATAATGCTTGGTTCTCTTCAGAAACTCTCCTGAACTTTTTTTTTGCATGTTAGATACAACTAAGTACTTCACCTTTGTCTTTGATATCCTGGTGTATTGTGACAAATCAAACTTATTCTAGAATAACTGCTTTGTTGTATGCACCCACTTGATTGATATTGGTGCACAAGCAAAGGAGTGGAAATATGCCATGTGCAGACTACATACATTAATGTTGAAACTCAGGCGTAAAATATGGGGAAATCCCTCCATTCTTAGCTTACACCAATCCAGTGTGAAAGCTAATAACAGTCTGCATGGTTATAAACACTTGGTGTTTATTTTTCCCACCCCAATCTTGTTAAATAGCTGCTTGTTCTTGTAGATTTGTCCCATATTGTGGCGTTTCAGACTCCTCTCAAGAAAATACATATGTGGTGTAAAGCCTCTCATTTCAGATGAATTAAGCTCCAAGGGCTGCTTTCTACCTAGATTTTAGGCAAGATTAACTGCTGGCCTGCAAGCACACATCAGCATTTGCAGTGGCTCAGCTAGTTGAGGTCCAATAGAATTTGATCACCAGCTACAGAAGCAACAGTGGAGCATCTGACATGCCTAAACTATGAACAGGCAGCAAGCTGCCCTTGATTCCCATAACATTTTGAGAACATTCTTATCTTTTGTCACATTGACCCTTACCTGCTACAATCTGTCTCCTTTATGGAAATGTTGCACAGAGTTATTTTTAAGAGATCTGTCAAGTATGCAGTTGTAAGATGTTGAGCTCATAATGTATCTTCTTTCCTTCCTCTGCCACTTAGCAAGTAGCTTATTGACATTTAATCTCAGTCACTGTGGTTGGCTGTTGTCTGCTGTTGGCCTCATATTCTGCATAGTAGAAATAAGGGAAAAGCCTAATTTGCCTTTTCCAGAAGTGTTTTCCTGTGATTTTTGGTGTACAATGCAATATTGAATCAGTGAGAGCAATAGGCTGCTATTTAGAATGCTCAATCACTTATTTCTTATCATTCCATCCTTTAGGGTAAGCACACTGACCAACATCCTAAAGAATGTAGTATGTACTTAAATTGGAGCCAGTTAGCTACCTATCATACTAATTATATCACACCTTATCCTTGCCTATCATATAAGTAATTTGTTTGCAATTCTTGTCAAAGGGAGTTGCCTAATAGAATAGGAAGTATGAACTAGAAGGATGCAGTTGAGTTTAAGGTCTTCTAAATAGCTAGAAATAGAAGGAAACTAAATGCATAGCTGTCATTCCCTCTTGCAACAAAACATTTATTGGCTCTTAAGCTCTTTTTTAGAAACAGTTCATTGCATGTAACCCATTTACTCACATTCAACAAATGGGCTACTCTATTATTGGCGTGGTTCCCTTTCCCTGTTTCTCCAAGTTGCTAATTTGGAAGAATAAAAACAGTACTTGACATCTTCCAATTCTGTGCTAAAAAAGACAGACCTGCAATGTTAGAAACTGCTGCAGTGTATCTGAACTATAATGGATATTTATTTTACTATGGATTAGAATTGTCTCTTATTCATATTTATTGATTTTCTGCCATGAACTGTAATGTGTGAATGTCTGGTGGACATGTAAAGACTTCCATGTTTTGTAGGTGATATGATTGAACTGCTTTCAGCTAGACTTTTCTCTGCTGTCCTCCCAAACTCCTCCCCCCCCCTTTCCTTCCATTTTTCATTAAAAGCGAAGCATTCATATTGTATTCTCTTGGATCAAATAATATAAACATTTTTATTGTGGGTTCTTTTGTCCAAAGCTATACTGAAAAAGAAAAATACAAATATATATATATATTTTAAAAGATTGATTGTATGTTAAAATGCAGGATGCAATAAAAAGGCACAAATGTTTAAAATGTATTGATGTTTTCTGAGTAGTTGAAATGACGGGATGAGTAAATTAGTTCTCCTGAAAGATCTGCAGAAAATGCTCATTTCAAAAGAACAGGGTTTTTCAAGCAACTCATTATTACTTATTAGAGGATACATTTAATTTATGATAGAGTTGGGAGAGAACAAAAAAAATCACAAGTTTAACTTCTGGCCAAAATTGACTGGGCCTCACTGGGCTGGGTGAGTATGTTTTCAAGGCTAAGGTTACTGAGATTCAAAAGTTAGGGGTTAGGATTAGCTAAGAGCAAACATGAAATTCCTACTTAAAGTTTGTGCCAATCCTGAAGTCCTAGTATAC